ATCTCACCAACCTATTAATGGACTGAATTCATGAAATTCAACATGCAATGAAGTTGGGAAATAACAAACACCGTAAAAATAATCTTTATAGTAAAATAATTATTTTTAATTGTGGATATACATGTACTAGGGCCATAGGCACTCCACATCTAATTTGTTAATGAGAAATGATGTCTATATAGGTATACCCCTCGATAATATAAAATCAACGTTGATTTTAAAGTATAAAGGAGTGCACCTTAATTTTTAGACACCGTCATTTCCGAAATTACATGGGGAGTACCTATAACTAGGCCTAGAAAAATGTAAAAATGTTTAATCATATTTGAGATTTTTCTGAGAGAGTTTATCTTTATGCTCTATCAAGAATCAAGAAAATCGATGATGAAAGTCACGTATTTTTTTTCTTGTTTACAATAAAATCTTTCAAAGGTCACATGTCTTTGTTTGCACAAAAGTTTGATACTATAACAGCAGCCCATGTCAATGCTAGTTTCTAGAGATCAAGGAATTTGCCCAAATCTTTCGGACTTTTATATTATATTTTTGATTAATTTTAAAAAAGAATAGAATGATCAAAGGTTAAAAAATAATTGTCAGTTTCCAAAAACGTGGATATATGTTATTATATTTGTCCGACAAGAAATGTGCAATTTCAAGAGAATCATGTAAAAGATGAGGATAACGAAGAGTGATCGAAGAGGGAATAAATCATGGACACCTAGAAATTCCAGAGATGGGATCAGGTGCCTAGGAGGAGTAAGCATCCCCCATTGACCGTTCACACCCGCCGTGAGCCCTATATATTGATCAGGTAGACGGAACATTCCGTAGTCAAATTCAGTATAAAAACAAAGGCTTAATATTTGGTATGAAACACGTCAGCCAAAATACTACCCAATGATATGTTATATTTAAAATTGCAAACAAGTCATTGTAACGACCATAAAATTTACGAAATGCTGACTTTAAACGAGGTTGTTGAAATCCCTGTAGTATCAACTTATCTGTCAGTACATCTGCCTTGGTTTAAAAATTGATCGTACTCAGAGCATGCTCTTTTAAAAGTATCGAATAAGTGGGAGATGTAAACACCATATGCAGGTGATAGCGGGCGGTTGACGATGGAAAAGTTGAAATCTCGTTTGTCATACAATTAAGAATCATTTTGATTGTCAAATTATATATATATATATATATATATATATATATATATATATATATATATATATATATATATATATATATATATATATATGCAGAATTTATGAAATTCGCGTTCCTGCTTCATTGGGGGAAGAATAATAGACATTTTTTCGTTGGAGATTTTTAATAAAATTATGCTATAATTCTTTTAACCCTTACTAACAGTGAAATCTACCGTAAACAGACTCCCAAACGCATGATATTAAGTCCATTTAGGAGAAGAGTAAGAAAGTAAGCTTTAATTTTTCATCTCGGCAACTTTCAGATGAATGTGATTTTTTTGGGGGACAAGATCCTCTTAATATGCACATTAATTAGTGTCTAGTGCATTAAATTAATGGTCCAATCAACACATGTCTTGCAGTAGTAGTCTGTACATGATGTGAATCTGTATTATAAGCTGAAACAGAACCACAGACCAAGGATGGACCTATGTTGAATACAAAATTACCTCTGTATTCAATGCTTACAGATAAATTTCTAGAATAAAGCTTTGCAATAGCAGCTTGTACAGTCATGTAAAGTTATAAAAAAAAAAAAAAAAAAAAAAAAGAGGAGGTATGTACATAAATATACTGTAAAACCAATTGATTGTTCAATATTCTAGAAAAGAAATATAACCTCTCCAGGGAAATTTCTGTTTATTTTATTTTATTATTTTTTTTTTAAATTCTATTTTATTTATTTGTTGAGCTTGGACTATTTTGGTAGTTATAGGACGATGCCACAAAAAGTTGAAAGTCTGGTGATTTACGTGAATAGAGAGGATTAATCTTAAGTCTGGTTTGCCATGTTGAAGATTTCAGAGAGAGAGAGAGAGAGATCGAGAGATCCCAAAAAATTGATAACGGAAAAAGATCATGCAAAGAAAATCCAGTTTCTGGGTAAAACTAAACCTTGCAGTGACAACAATGATCAAATTGTGTGTTTCAAGGTCAAGCCAACTAATAAAAGCTAGAAGATAACTAACAGTTTCACATCCAAGGAGAATATGTACGGTGATTTCTGATAACCAGGACAGAAGAGGATATGAAACAATTTGAGAAAAGTTTACGTTAAGCACTATCATAGCAATTTGTTCAAGGAAGACTGTAGAAAGACAAGCTCGAATTCGACAAAAGCAGATTCGAAGAATAAGTTGTAGCAATGCAGAACCAAACCGAGAGAACACTAGTTCCACGTTTACTAATTGTTCATAGAAAATTTATTACAACTAACAAAGTAGTCAGCATGAGTTTCAAGTGATATTGTTGGATTTTACACATTTTCATTCATGTAAAAGTGGGGTGTGGAGAGGGGGGTTATATCTTTCAAAAAGTATTTATATGCGCTAGCCAATTCTACAAAGCTCCTGCTTAATTACAGATAAGATACTTCGTAAGATGAAGTAAACTGAAAGCCATCGTGTGGACCTAGTAGTTGATGTGAAATTAAGAAGGAAATAAAAACTTTAAACTCCTTGAATATGTGTATGTTGATTGTAATATTATTAATTATTGTTAGCAGTAGACCCAGAAAAGTAGGAGAGAACACTATTTTTTTTAAAAAAGAAATTATATATAGACGAGAACCTTCGCCCCCCCCCCCCTCCCCCAATATATTCTGTTAATTTCTTTGTCCAATTTATTAAAATACAATTAGTGTGTGCCTTAGTAATAAAAATGATTTGAATCTTTTATAAGCTAGAATACTGACAAAACTGAGAGGGTTTTAATAGAAATACAGAATAAATGTTTCCAATACCATCGTAAAAGTTGTGTTTTGGCTGTTGTAGAGGTTCCAAACATTTCTGTGGTTTGATAAATAAAGTACTAGTAAATTTAAGTCAATCGATTAAACTGTTTTACCACCATAACCCAGGTGTGTTAATAGAAACAGTATATCTAAAAAGCCCATGATGCATAATTGAATGGAAATACCCACGAGAGAGAGAGAGATGGTAAAATACGTTTTTCTCTCAGTCCTCTTATGTTTGCAATCATGAATTTATATATTGTTTCAATTCTCAAGGTTTTCGAAATTTAATCACCCTCAGTCATTGAATATAGGATAGAACCAAAGAGTTGAAGCGATGGTAAAAATGTTTTTACCATATATTGTAATTAAGAAAGCTACAAACACTGCACACTAAAGAGTTCTAATTAGATATATGTAGTCCTTAGATGTATGCTTAGATGTCAGCTAGAATTAACCGGAATCTACTGTGAATGTCACAATTTGTAACAGATTAAAGATTGTAACAGATTCTTAGCGTAAAATTAGACCAAAACACATTATTTACATGTATTTTACCAGTATAAGTGAACAGCGATGATTGTTTTTCACTTATACTTCGTCGTCTTTGAAATATATAGAAGTACCCTAGGTTTTAAATGAACTAAATAAACTAAATATATACTCCTTTATATGATACCGGTATATTCTTTCCGAAGTCCAAAAAAAGCATTATTCATTAGTGTAAAGAGCTTCCTTAACATTTGGCAAGTTTTAAACCCAACATCGATAATCTGTGCACATTTTCAAAAGACAGTTATTGTGTTCCCGTATCGAAGATTCGGGGGTATTTAGTTTTTGCCCTGTCCGTCCATCTGTCTGTCTGTCTGTTTGTCCGCAAAAACTATAACATTGCCCATAACTTTTGATTGGTTGGAGCTATGGTTTCCATATTTCATATGTTTATTCCTTGTGACAAGACCTTTCTTTGGGTACCATTATATTTGAATTTTTGACCTTGACCTTGGAGTTCGACAAAGTTTTTCAAAATTTTACCCAACTTTAATCTTGGCCATAACTTTTGAACGGTTGGAGTTAGGGCTTTCATACTTCACATATGTAATCCTTGTGACAAAACGTTTCTTTGAATACCAACAACTTTGACCCTGGAGTTTGACCTCCTTTTGGAAAACTGTAACCTTGGCCATAACTTTTGAACGGTTGGTGCTAGGACTTTCATACTTCACATATGTAATCCTTGTGACAAGACCTTCCTTTGTATACCATCAACTATGAACCTTCGACCTTGGAGTTTGGCGTATTTTTGGAAAACCATAACCTTGGACATTACTTTTGAACAGTTGGTGCTAGGGCTTTCATATCTAAAATGTCTATTCCTTGTGACAAGACCTTCCTTTGGGTACCAACAAGTGTAATCCATTAACTTGGAGTTTGACCTACATTTGGAAAACTTTAACCTTGGCCATAACTTTTGAACCGTTGGTGCTACGGTTTTCATATTTCACATGTGTATTTCTTGTGAGAAACCCTTTCCTTGGGCACTATTAATTTTGACCGTTTGACCTTGATGTTTGACTTATGTTTGAAAAACTTTAACTTTTTTCCATATCTATTCAATGGTGGCGCTGGGGGCTTTCTTTTTTCACAGGTATATTCCTTGAGACAAGACCATACTTTGGGTACCAACATATTTGGTTTGCATTTGAGAAAGTTTAACCTTCGCTTTAGTTGCCATACGGGCGCATCAGTGTTTCACAAACACATCTTGTTTTTTATTATTAATTTCGCCGTTTGTGTTACATAAATTATGTGATGAAAGGAATAATCATAGCTATATAATTGTTTAATAATTTATTATCAACAAATATATTTGATTCTCTAATTAGCCTAGACGATCAAACCAGACTTTCCTTTATACTAAATAGGCGTAGCATCGTTAAGTTGTGGTTTGGGTTTACCTGTCCGTGACTTTAATTATTAACAATAATTCCTGTCAGATAATCAAGTCAAATATACTAGAGGTAAGATATGAAGATACATTTGTATGCAAGATCTTTTCTGTACTGCCAGGGATATGGTGCGCGGTTTTTTTATTCCCTGGATACTGAGAGTTGTAAGAAATGACAAGCATGGTGCGAAGAACCTTTTTTCTCCAGCTTGCACGTCTTTGTATTCGTTTCTAGAATCGTGAAATAAACTGCAAAATGTGAGAAGATGTGTGAAGGAAGAAATTGATAATTAAAGTATCCTTTCTTTGAATTCAAAGGAAAAATATACATTTGAAAGTAGCACAAGTCTGCGACTAACAGATTTTTTTTTTCGCTCGCTGGAGTCTGAACAATGCTACATGTTGTGACGAGACGATATCAGAGGAGTTTGTTTGTCGGAGTATGTTTTACCTTTTGCTTTTGTATATTGTTTTTGGATAAGTATTCCAGACTTGTTAAAGGTAAGTGTCGTATGGTAAAAGTCGGAACAAAATAACCAATCGTATATGATTAAAAAACTGTCGATGATTTGGCGGGTAACTTGGCGTATGGTAATGAAGAATAAATTTGTAAAATACTCGTGTATGACATCTCCAATTTACCACTCGATAAATAGTTTAAGGTGTTTTGAATCTGTTATACAACTGGAAAAAAATTGTCGGGTAATAAATTGAGATTGTTTTTGAGATGTTGATATTTAGAACATGTACAAATATTCAAATTTATTTACATAACAGATGCGGAATATGAATTTGACATTAGTGGAAGAGTTGAAATTGACCACTTCAGACATTCAGGTAGCTATTCTACATCTTTTATTTTTTTATGATAAATTATTTTCAAAAAAATTTTATGACATTTTTTAAAACATGATTGAAATTATAATGGCATGCATGTTTCTTTTTTTTTTTTTTAAATAAGAGACGCTAATTTATGAATGTGATCGTGGCTTGCGATGGCGAACGAAATTGCATGCAGTACGTACACAATAATTCCCATTGCATCAGTATGAAATTCACTGCACGTGTTGGACATAAATTTACTGAGTTAATTCTACTTAAACTCCATGACCAATGCATCTTATTTTTCTTCGGCTGTGCATCATAATTAGCTTAATTAACTGGTCTACACAAAAATGATGTCCGTTTGTCATATATATTTTGTGTTAAGAAACACATCGAAATAGAAAAAATCGTGAAACATCTCAGAAAGTTTTTTTTATGACTAAGCAAGAAATATTTATAATTATGAACATCGAAATTTTGGCACTGCATAATAATTTGTTTTATTAAGTTGACTTCTAAGAGGATACTACTTTGTATTGCGAAGCACACCGCCAGAAATGACTATCCTACATACGTGTAGAAACAAACATGAGGCTTTAAAATGCTTATGAATTATTGAAATACATGGAAAGATGTTATACAAAAAAATTACATTTCTGAAAAATCAAGATTTAATTGAAAAAAAAAACACATAAAAGACGTGAATATCATAAAGAAATATAAATGAAAAAATATACTCTGCAAAGGAATGAAATGACTGAATATCGTCAAGTCCATACTGCTTGCAATAAAGTATTTCAGCCGTTTTACCAGCATTACGATTTTGTGGGTTAAAAAAAAGTATGTATGGCCTTGTGTGGTTTCTTCTTCTATATATGAATTCTCTTCTAACACTGCAAATAAAATTATTTATCACATGATACTATGATTACATATACTCTTCTAAACAAGTTCATAGCTTATGGAATCTTAATTAACAGATGTCAATGAAGTCATAGCCCGTGGGTTATCGAAGAAAGTCCGTATTTTATGTTGGATCATGACGTCACCAAAAAATTTGGATGGGAAAGCAACAGCGGTGAAAAATACTTGGGCAAAGCGCTGTAATAAAGCATTGTTCTTCAGCAGTGAAACAAACGCTTCCTTTCCAACCATCGGCCTCAATACAACGGAAGGACGGCAACATTTGACGGCAAAGACGATACAAGCGTTTCGCTACTGTTACGAACATTACGGGAATCAGTTTGACTGGTTTCTCAAAGCAGACGATGATACTTACATGATCGTAGAAAATCTACGATATTTTCTTTCTCACCACGATCCAAATAATTTGCAATATTTTGGACACAAGTTCAAAGTGATCGTGGAACAGGGGTATTTCAGCGGAGGGGCGGGCTACATTTTAAGTAGGAATGCATTAGAAAAATTTGTGACTGAGGGTCTTTCAGATTCTGCGAAATGTAGACAAGATGGTGGGGCAGAAGACGCAGAAATTGGTAAATGCATGCAACATCTGGGCATCAAGGCAGGAGATTCGCTGGATATTTATGGCAAGGAGACTTTTCATCCGTTTAACCCGAGTGCACATTTAAGGGGTCTATATCCCCAATGGTTTTACAACAATGCAGCCAGTTACCCCAAAAAGGTAAAACTTAAAAGTATTTTAATTTCAATCGTCTGTTAAAAGGAGCTAATCAAAAGTGATGATGTTGGTTCTGGAAGTGCATATTATAAGCTTCACATTGCATTTTTTTTAAAAAAAACATTTGAAACTTTGTAGCAATATTTTCTGCACTTTGAAATTTGCTATGAGGTGTACTATTGCATTGTTACTGCCATGCGTGCTGTAAAGTTTGTCTCTACTACCACCCGGTAAACTCAAAACTTTCAAGTATATTTTCATTTTAATGTATATTATTTAATTAATTATTGAATTGAAAGGTAATAATTAATGAAAGTGATATACTTGGATAGAATAAAAATATACTTGAAAGGTTCTGAATTTACCGGGTGACATTAAATACGAAATTTACAACAAATTGCCATGATGAAAAATTTGTATTTATTGCCAACCGGTAAAATTTAAAAAATTACAACACGACAGTATATTTTTGTTGACTTTTTTCCTAGATGTCTTGTTATTGCAAATGGATATTAAACATATGCAAATACTTCATTTGGAAGGCATTAAAAAGATCAAAAGTCGACTTTTTTCCACATTTGTCTGATTTATTAATTTAGTTTAAATATATTCATGTTTAGACAAACAAAATCGTTCACCAATTTCGTATTTACGTATGTAAATGTATATATTTACAAGGTGGTCTAACATCTTCACCAAAATTGATGTTTTTTAATGAGAAAGGATATATGACATTGTCCTTGTTTTTGAAACTGTCAAGATTGGGACCTTAATTAAATTATGAAAAAGTTTTCTCGAAGTGCAATATCAACAGTCTCGTTTAAAGTCATCATTTTGCAAGTTCTATGGTCGATACAATGACCTTGTCAGCAATCTATCATTAAGTCACTGAAATGCTGACTGATGCTTTCATACTAATTATTAGGCCATTATTTACACTTTGAATTGTCTACGAATTTTTCCGTTTTTCTCGAACATGACAAGGAGCACACGGCGGGTGTGACGGGTCGGCAGGGGATGGTCACTCATCCATGGCACCTGATCCTACCTCTGATGTTTCAGAGGTCCGTGTTTGCTCTGCTCCTGATTTGTATTGTTTGAATGGACTTTTGAGCTTGAATAATGTTCGTTTTCTCCATATTTCTTTGTATATTTTCGTAACTTTGAAATCAAAATTTAATGCATTATTTCATTATAGGGTCTTGAATGCTGTAGTGACTACAGTATATCCTTCCATTACATGTCGCCTCCAGACATGTACGTAATGGATTACCTGATCTACCACTTACGTCCGTACGGAATCATACAGGACGTACGTAAAACACGCTTATTCAACAAAGAGGCCAGTTTTAAATAGTTTTGCAGGTATTATTTTTGTAAATATTTTGTTAAAACACAGAGAACAAAAGTTGTGCAGAACCACAAGATCTTGCAAATGAATTCATCAAAAAGGGGCTGGCCTCTACAGCTAGGGATCTAGAGGGACCGAGTGTATATTTTCCCGATATAAAACTGGCGAATACTGGTTTCGAATAGGATTATATATAATTGCTTCTTTTTTCATGATTCTTTCACTAAAATCAACAACATGATAGGAAATTTTTGGTGACTGGGGATATTTGATAGTATTTTGGACGAGTGGACAATTTTATTTTTAGATATGAAAGAAGACATCATTCCTTCTATAATTCTGTGTGATCGTATCAACATTGCCGTATCATACATTTGAGAATAGTTGAAAAAGAAATACTTTTTCATGTTCATACAGTTTAAAGATATTATAAACTCTTATCATACATTTTTATACTTTTTACTGTTGTTTTTGTTTCCAACATGCTGTTAATTTTTTTTCTTGTTTACAATAAAATCTTTTTCAAAGTCTATTGCCTTTTTAATTTAAAGTTTGATAATCTAACAGCAGTCTGTATTAATTCTGGACTTATCATTTAAATTTTAAATTAACCTGGTGGCAGTAAATTCTTTACAACATTGCAATTTTTTTTATTTACTACAACCCTGTCAATTTAAATCTATAACATGACAGTATCTAGTACAAGTATTTTTGCTCAAATATCATGTTGTAAATTTTTAATTTACTGGGTGTAGGTAAATATAAAATTTACAACTTTTGTATTTAGGAGGTAAATACAAAGTAAATACAAATACCTAGTAAATTCAAAATTTATAATATAATACAAAACTCCTGGATTTTCGCGTTTTGACTTAAGTCACTAGATGGGAAATAAGAGCTTTCCGTCATACCTGTATTTGCAACAATCCATAAAACCAAATACTTTACATATATAGCATGAAATTCAGAAGTCCTTCAATTGCATTCATAGAAATAAACAAATGGTGATGGTATCAAAACCAGACATTATTTATCGCAAAAAAAAAAGTGCTCAAAACTTATAAAATACTATCCCTGAAACAAAGATGTAAAAAAAAAAATTCAAAAGAGGAGTCAGATGGCCTTTGTGTCTAGCATTGCTTTTAAATCATATTCTTCACGAATAATTCTTTTAAAAATTAAAATAAATGTCAGTTCATCATAAATCTAACAACCACATGATGTTTTGTGACAATTTTATTTGTTGTCTCCTGTCGCAGCTTGTAACGTTGATAAAAAATGATGACAATTTGTTGATTTCTTAGTGTTTTTACGTAGTAAATACAAATGACTGAGAAAAAAAAATTGAGCTACATTATACAATGGTACATGTATTATACATTTTATTTAATTAAACACACTTAAAATGCAAAATTGCTTTGTAAAAATGCGTATATCCTGAAAATCACAAACTCAAAGAAACATTAGGAAACCTCTTGTGGTTTTCTGTCGTACATGAAAGTGACCATTTTTAGAGAATGTCAAAGATTAGAGCGATTGTTTTTATTATTCAAGCAATCGAATTAATATGAGATTGTAAGGCACAGTTTACTTGTTTGATAAGTTTTGTCTAGTTTAAAGTTTTGTTGAGTTTTTTCCCCTTCTAAGTGAGGAACCAATGGGTAGCGTCACTAGCGTATTTGATATATTTCGTGTGTAGACACGTACTACAAACCCTAAATTTTCTAAATCTGATTTTTTTTTTTAGTTTAATGCACCAATAAATCAAAATTTTCATTGAACAACTATTATCTCATAAAATTTGAATCAAAAATAAATTCTGATGATGCAAAACAAAGGTAATGTACAGAACACATGTTAGTATGTTTTCTTAAAAAAATAAAGTCTAAGTCTTTTTTTCTTTTTATACATTGATGAAATAAAATGCTTCTACAATTGTATGCTTATTTAAGGTAAAGTGTCTTTAAACTTAAACACATCTTTCACGTTAATCAAAATTTAAGTGACCACCTAAGAGTGTGTAAATGTGGAAGATCACGATAAAAATGTATAAAAATGTGAGTTATTGAGGGAATCAAAACACAACATCAATCCATTATGTTTAATTTGCATCACAAATTAAACATACTAAGTACTGTAAATCACGTTTCTTCCGCGAGAACTTTTTTGCGTGATTTTGCAAGACTGTCGACAAGTAAATTATATGTCGCAAAATTAAAAAAAAAAAGATCTTACAACTAATCGTATACAGAAGATGATATATGTACACGAAATAATGTTTGATATCTTGCAAATAAATTTGTTTGTTCCAAAGAAACATTAAAAACTCTCACGAAATATTACTGAATTACAGTATAGCAAATGTTCATATATGCTTTTATATTTAGAAGCATGCGCACATCATAGAAATCATTTGTACAGAAGGGACATCTTTTGTTCTAAAATTACTAATGCTTAAAATGAAAAATTCTCTCTATAAAACCATACACAATAAAAATCCTATTGCGAAGTAGAAGACTGTTGCTATGGAAAGTGTCGTGTGCGGCGCTGAATTACACCCGTTGCCTTCACACTCACAGTAAAACATTTTGATCTTGTAGGTACCCGCTCTCTCGAAACAACCGAGTTCAGTATGGTTTGCTATGGCACACTGGCGTATAATTCTTACTTCATCCTTGTCAACTAAAAAAAAAAATTAACAGTATCCCAACTGAAACATTGTGGAACCTAAATCGTTTCTAACATGCCCTATATTTCACCCTTGCATTTCTCCAAAAATGATTATCAAAATGCATCAATATAGTATTTTGTCCTCCATTTTCTAGCGGAAAACACTTCTAAATTAATATTAAAACTGGATCTTTTTCTCTGACCAATGAAAATGGTGACCATTACGAACATTGATCAATGCCATATATCCTATAAAACTTTGAACATCAGAGATGGAATCAAGTACCTAACAAAAGTAAACCTTCCTTGCTGTGGACCCTCTGTATTGAGATCAAGGAAAATTTGTTTGTTTGATTGATTGATTGATTGATTGATTGTGCGTTGTTGTTTAAAAAGAACGGCCCAATAATAAGTATGAAATTTGTCAGTCAAAATTTGACGTAACTAAAAGTTGTATTTGCAAAAAAGTCATTATATAACTACCATAGTAATTACTGTCATAGAATAGTAGTTACTACCATAGAATTTGCGAGATACTGGCCTTAAACAATACTGTTGAAACCCCTGTAGCATCAACTTATTATATTGAAACCCCTGTAGTATCAACTTATTATATATTTGTCAGTAGCCTGCTTCGATTTTAATTTTAAAACTGACCGTGCACAGAACATGATCTTGCGTACCGAATCAGTTATGAGACAACACACAATAAACAGGTGGAGGCGCAAAATTGCTACATAAATACAGGAAGTTAAATTGGTTCTTCGGATGAGACCACATAAACAGATATCCCGTGTCGCATAAAAAAGATCCCGCACTACTCAATGGTCAAAAGTACCAAAGACATATCTAAATTTGTAGCCTTCCATCGGCAATGTGGAGACCCAATATGAGTGAACAATTATCTCAGAATGAAAGCAAATCAAACAAACATCCGATGGAAAATGTAAAGTCCTTGTGTCATTTACAACATTCTAAATATCAACAGGCAAAGTGTGGTGCCTTTAAATTCCATTTCAAACGGATAAAGCGAATCTACATATAAATAAAGATGAATATCTCGATTGATAAAAACAAATCGTTGATATCAATGCATCTAAATGTCATCTAAATTTTGAATTTATGTGGCAGTAAATACAACCGATAAATGTCAAAATTACAACATGACATTAATGTCGAATTGAAGTCCACCGCTAGATTGTTTTCTAAAATTCTTTTCATACAGATATTATTTAATAAATTCTGCTTCATAAGAATACAAAACAGGTCGGCTTAGAAAGGAGCACAATTTATGCCCATGGAAATTCAAAATTTGTTGGAAGACCTGGTTTTCAAAGACTCCACAGATATTGTATATGAGGAACTCCAGAATCTTTTTAGTATAAACTCCAGAGTACATGTCACGATGTGTGTGGAATATGTAGCAGATGACTATTTACAAGATATGAAAATTTTGACTTTCAATTTTTTTTTGAAGAAGCACTTGTATATTTTGTCAAAAAGAGAAAATTTACGAGTTCCATTTTTATTTTAAAAAAATAGTTTTCAATGATGTTCTTCATTTTTTTTTTTTTTTTTTGAGGAATAGTTGTACATATGCTGATGATGTTGGGAAAAAAATGTGATTTCAAATGTTGGGGTTTTGAGAATTCATATTTAATTTACGCCACAGTGGGGCATTTCTTGAATGTGTTGTAGCAAAGAAAGTCAAAAGTTTACAAAAAATAATTTCAGCATGCCAGACAAATACCAACATTTTTGAAATGCCGAATGTCTCATATTTTACTAGCCTTGCGAAATATAGTAAATTTCCGGATGTTTAACCATCACCCATTGATAGAGATTAACATGATTCACAGAGTAGGAAACAGTATCTTACCCTCTTGTTGTATCTTTCTACATCTATAGCTTTCTGATGAGCAGTTTTTATAATATTGTGGATTCGACATAAGTGACCCAGGCGAGTCCTTGCACTGCGCTGTGTATAGCGAGTTGCATTCAAAGCATTCAATGGCGCTTGCTGCAAATACACAAAAATTACTGAATATAATTTCATTATTGCATTCATTTATTTAAATTACATTTGTCATTTTTGGTCATTTTTGTTATAACTTTATCTTGTTGTTGGGATAAAATTCTTTTGTGTTGAAGACAAAAACTTAAAAAGATTCCCATGAGAACAATCATGACTGCAATAATATAAATGAGTGTTCAAAGTGAATATTCGTATTATTGTCGACATCACAGAATAGAAAATAACATTAAGTTGGATTAAGTTCTTTGTCTCATCCTTGGATAAAAATCGATTTCCCCCTAATCCTCATTTCCGACACATTGTATCCTTCACAGAGGTCGTGCAATGCACGTGCTTCATATTTAGGCAGTATGTACAAAGAATGGACATTAAATGTTTCACCCTGAATAATATATTCTTCCGTAACTGTGATAAATGTAAAATGTACTCACTTTTTTGGAGTAAGAACGTCAGACATAAAGTCACTAAAGCAATTAAGAAAAGCTGCATATTCTTGACGTCCATTTTGTAAGTTAATACGAAAACTGCTTACGAATGTTGTGAGATGCTTCTCGCTGTATGGATTGCGTTTCCGCATCAGCGTCAAAAGGGGGTCTCAAGGGGGATTTTGAGGAGCGATTGCTATGTTTCCGCCGGGATAAAAATATTGATATTGTGAATAACTTTTCACATAAACATCATAATGATACATATTTAAGAAATAAGGTATCATTTTTAAACTTTTATCAGGATGTAAATACATGTATGGGTTGGTCATGTGATCAAAGCCCATATAGCCCAAAGGGCTGAAAGCGAAGGATACAATGGGAAAATGTGAGAAAAGTAACAATGTTGCCTTTCACTGCATATACCAAAATCTGGATGCACACACAGATTATATTCCATTCATATCAATATCGTATCAGTTTATTGGAAATACATTTATTGAATGCAAGCTTATCTTCAAAGCAGGAGTGGATCTAGGGATCCCCCCCCCCGGGAAATGATATATATATATATATATAATTAGTATAATTGGTTTATAAATATAAGTCTAACCACTGATGAGGAAAACACATCGATGATTTTTCATGATTAAAATGGACAATGCAACCCTAGTCAAGACTGCTAGGAAAAAACAACGAAAGAATCCCCCCCCCCCCTCCCGGAAAAAAGAAAAAAAATTCGTGTAACTCACACCTCCTACAAATCTAAGGATTTTTTTTTATTGACTCATTTTTCTTTTGTTCCTTTATAACAAATGTGGCATTTATATTTTCATGTCCACATTTGAGTGAAACCCAATTCGACTTTTTGCCCCCCCCCCCCCCGCTTTCGCGAAAGCGAGGGGACATTAATTCTCATTCGTCTGTCTGTCAGTCTGTCCGTCTGTCAGTCTTTTCGTCTGTCAGTCTGTCTGTCACAAAAACTTTAACCTTGGTCATAACTTTTGAATGAGAAAAGATAGCGCTTTCATATTTTACATGTCATTACCTGTGACAAGACCTTTCCAAATTAAATATACTAATCAATGATTTTTGACCCCGTGACCTTGACCTTGAAGTTTGGCCTACTTTTCAAAAATTTTAACATTACCTGTGACAAGACCTTTCCAAACGTACTACGGTTTTTGACCCCTTAAACCCGTGATCTACTTTTCGAAATATTTATCTTTGCTTATAACTTTTGATTGAGAATAGATAGGGCTTTCACATTTGCAGGGTTCGAAATTCACTATATACAACTCGCAAAACGCGAGTTAGAATTCTGAAATTGCAAGTTAAAAATTAGGTAACTCGCGAAAACTTGCGAGTTGATTTTTTTTGCATTGAAACTGTAGCAAAATTATATAATATGACAACACACAATGCTTTTGATTTAAATCACTAATTTAAATAAAAGTCACCCTGTAGCTGTATTTTGTGTATTGTACAGTAGTTACTTTTTCCCTAAGTTACATGTATTTAATTTATATATATTTAACTTTATATGAAAATTGCGAGTAGTCTTATAAAATTGCGAGTTCACTTTCTTGGTACTCGCAATTATTTGCGAGTTGTAATTTTAGGGAGTTTCTAACCCTGCATTTGACATGTGCATTACCAGTGAGAAGGTGTTTCTGAGCATGCTATGATTTTTGACCCCTTGACCTTCATGTTTGACCTAATTTTCAAAAATTTTAACTTCGGTGATTACTTTTGAATGACATAGGATAGGGCTTTCATATTTGACAAGTGCATTTCCTGTGTCAAAATGTTTCCGAATATACTATGATATTTGACCCCCGTGACCTTGACCTTCAAGTATGACCTATTTTTCAAACATTTCAGCAATGTTGCTAACTTTTGAAGGAGCGAAGGTGGGGCAATCTTATTTGACATGTGCATTACCTGTGATAAGCATTTCCAAATGTACTTTGATTTTTAATCCCTTGACCTTGTAGTTTGACCTACTTTTCAAAAATTTTAACTTTGCTGCTGATAACTTTTGATTGAGAGAAGATATGGGATTTACAATTGACATGTGCATTACCTGTTTCAAGACCTTTCCGATTGTATACTCTGGATTTTGATATTTTTTTCACACGTGCATTACTTGTGACAAGACCTTTCGGATTTTATTATGATATTTGACCTCATGACCTTGATCTTGAAGTTTGATATAGTTTTGAGAAGCTATAATCTTTGCCATAACTGTTATTAATTCAATAATTTATATCTTTTTTTGTATAATGCACAGTCAAGTCAGGACACACACTCAAGACAGTTACAATATGCCATAATTAATGACATCCCATCCACTAAGACATGGAAAGCGGGGGACCACAATTCTTTAAATTTACTTGTTCAAATAGATTGTTAGAATTTTTAAATAATGTTGCTTCTACTACATAATTTATTTTTAGCTCACATGACCCGAAGGCTCAAGTAGGCTTTTCTGATCGAAATTTGTTCGTTGTCTGTCGTTGTAGTTGTCCTCGTCGGCGTCGTAAACTTTTCACATTTTCATCCTCTCTAGAACTACTGGGCCAATTTCAATCAAACTTGGCACAGAGTATCCTTGGGTAAAGGGACTCATGTTTATTCTAATGAAGGGCCACACCCTCTTCCAAGGGGAGATAATTAAGATATTGTGAAAATTGGGTGGGTCATTCAAAAATCTTTTTCTCAAAAACCACTGTGCCAGAAAAGATGAAACTAAAGTGAAAGCTTTCTGGGGTAGTGTAGATTTAAATTTGTTCAAATCATGACCTCCGCGGGGTAGGGTGGAATCACTATGGGCAATCAAAGTTTTACATAGGAATACACAGGGAAAAAAATCAAAATTCTTTTCTCAAGAACAGCAAAGTCATGATTAGTCATATTTATATGGAAACATCCTCAGGTAGTGTAGATTCAAGTTTGTTTAAATCATGTTCCCTGGGGGTCGGGTGGGGCAACTATGGGCAATCAAAATTTTACATGGAATATATAGAAAAAAATTTCCTCTAGGGAGCAGCAAATCCATGATTAGTCATATTTATACGAAAGCATCCTCAGGAACAGTACTATAGATTCAAATGTTTGAATCATGACCCCCTGGAGTAGGGTGGGGCCACAACAGGGGATCAAAGTTTTTACATAAGAATAATCTTTTAAAGTCTTCTTCTCAAAAATAGCAAAGCCATGGTTAGTTATATTTATACAGAAGCATCTTCAGGTAGGGTATATTCAAGTTTGTTCAAATCATACCCCCCCCCCCCCCTTATTGGGGTCCACAATGGCCAGTCAATTTTTTTTATAAGAATATATAGATATAATCTTTTAAAATCGTCTTAAGAACAGCAAAGCCATGATTAGTCATATTTATATGGAAACATCCTCAGGTAGTGTAGATTTAAGTTTGTTAAAAGCATGATGCATGGGGTAGGGTGGGTCTACAATATTTTATCTTAATTTTACATACGGAAAAAATCTGCTGATAGAGATCGGAACAGCCACACATGTAGTAACTCAGGTGAGCTTTGTGGCCCATGGGCCTCTTGTCACAGTTTTATATTTATTGTGACCCATGGGCCTCTTGTCAAAGTTTTATATTTCTAAAAATGTGCATAACTCCCTACCCTATCAACACCAAATAAGGATTTTCTAAATTGGAGGTCAATACCATTAGATCTCTCCTTAATGTCTGACAAATAAAATTTAATTCTAATTGGAGGATCAATGATTCCTCACTGCAACCCTGTCTGCATTATACTGTTCCTGGGATTCTGTGTCAAATATAAAGACCCACTGCCAAGATGAAAAAGTCTGAATCTTAGATGCAATGTAGTTGTGGAAAGACATACTAATGTCAGAAGCCTCCCCTCCCTTCCCCCTATCACTGTAGAAAAATGAAACATCACATGGAAATATACCTCAACCAAATAAGACTACCTGACCAGTACAGGTATTTGATCACATGATTTACCCAGGTCATTATACATCATTGATACTAGGTTTCTTGTATGGGATGAATGGGGCACTACCAATTCTTAAGTTTTTCTACTTATGCCATTAATTTATCAGCATTTTATATAATAAAGCTTACTGATATTGTCAATGTTTTGTCTTAAAAACAGGAAAAGTTTGGTACATCCTTTCTTTACATCCAAGGTAAGTAAATACCTTTTACTAAATGTAAAAAGAAGACAAGTTTGTCAAAATTAATCAGGCACTTTATTTGAAATTAAAATTCAAAAAGCTGATAATCTAGCAAGATAAACTTTGGCAAAAAGCAATAACATCAATTTATTTTACATCAAACCCTTATTTTAAAGTGTGTTTGATCTTAAACTCAAAATATGGCAAGAAAAAAAAGCATCTAAACAAACCAACAGAAAAACAATAAAGCAAAAAAATCTCAAAATGCAAACACAAAAACATATTTACAAATTAATCATCTGTCTGATATATGAAGCGAGGCCAAACTTTTGCCTTTATGACAATAATGCAAAGGCCTCTCTGTCCTCATATAACTCACTACACTTCAAATATAGAGCTGATGACAAAATAAATATTAAATCTGATAAAATCTATGTACAGGGGGTCAGTCAGGCACTGGCCATTTTTGGCTGTTAATATCTCACTTAAGAAGTCTTTTTTTTTTTTTTTTTTTTTAAAAAAAAAGAAGACATTCTTTAATTTTCTCTTTTCTGCACTGAAAACAAAAATTTACAAGCAAACATTGCTTGGGTAAACAAATGATGAACACAATGTATCATGTGAAAGTGGTCATAAGGCAGTCTGATGATTTTTTGAACACAAAATATTGGCAGTGAATATAAAGCATTAAAATGTGCATGCTTAAAAATGGGGCTTGTAAATTAGCAAATAGTATGAAAATATAACATGTGTATAAAGCTTCTAAAATTTTCAGTTTCATCTTCATGATTCTATTTAATGGATGTAATTAGCATATGAAAAAAGACTAAACTAAACAGAGAAAACATGAAAAAATATTTGAACACTTGATTACATGAGTAATAATTATGCCATCATTATGGTAATTCTGAGGAACTGAAATGCTATTACATTAAACTTGTATCAAAAAAAGATTGTACATGCACTTATATACTGACCAAAATGATATATTAAAGCACTCTATCATGTCTATTTCAATCAAAACCCTGCATTTTTTAATTAAAATATGTGAACATGATGAATAAAAAATAAAAATAATTCAAAATAATTCTTGTTTTTACATTTGTTCAGAAGTAACAGGTAACTAGAATATAGTAGTCCTACTATTCAACCGAGCTTGTAAATAAATAACTTGTAGTTTTGAAAAAAAAAAATTTAACTTCTAAAATGACAGAAAAAAAACCCCTTCAAACATTGTGATTTTTTTTTAATGATTATTAAACAATGAATGATAATAACTTCAGAAAATGTAATGCAATGCTCACCAGAGACACACTGCTCTTCTGGAAGAATTTTATTTACTTATCTCCTTTCTTTTTTTTCTTCCTTTTTTAAAGGCCACTGTGGTATTATTCTGCAGTTCAAATTGTCTCAAACTTAAGCAAACCTAAATGTACACATGATAAATTTGAAGAGTGTCCAGTATTACAGCTCACAACTCACAAGGTCAAATTTTCTCTTAGAAGGCCATGTAGCTTCAACTATTTTGAATCCAATCCACATAAACCAGTAGAAAAATCTGTAAAAGTCTTGTTCTCTAGAAAAGGATATACCCACTATTATGGTCCAGTTCTAATCCCAAGGGTCAGGGTAAATTGAATCTACATCACATATCTCTTAGGAAAGCTTTCATCTACAGTCATTTCTAGATGGGTAGTTTTAAAAAAGAACAATATTCCAAATTCTGAATTATCATCTTTCAAAGTGCAAAATAGAAATTTATAGCTTCTTCGTCACTTAAGTGTGCTTTGTGCAAATTCTGTTTGAAGTTGGATTAGTATTTATGGCAAAGACACTGAAATACGTAAAAAGTGAAAAGTATAATATATTTAAAACACATCAAAATTGTATCAAAGACATTCATTTCAGCACACACAAATAAAAAAATCCTAGCATTCCTTAACCTTGTTCACTCTGCAAATGAAAACAAAAATACTAATGAAACCAAAAAAAATGTTCCAGATAATGATTTATATGTTGAGCATTCACAGATTCACTGAAGCATGGGTAAGTAAGGGCATGACTTGTTCTTCACTCAGATACTTTCTTAAGCATTAATTTTTCTTCGTCAGAAATGCTGCTTTGACTGGACATGATCTCATCGTCATCTTCATCTATACTCATCTGAGAATTCTGTGAATTCGAATTTTCATCTGGGAGACATTCATCACCATCTTGACACAATTCAATACTGGGCAGCAACTTAGCTAGGTCAATTCGACCTATTTCTTTCAAATGGGATTCCAGGAGACTTGTGTTTTCTTGAGACACCAAATGTCTACCGAGAAGGACTCGTAATAATTCCTGAGGATTTTTAAGATTATCAAGAGTCTGTTTTTTCAGCAGGTTCTCAGACTGTAAGATTAGTTTGAGGGTGGAAAAATCCTCAACTGTAAGTTGTTGACTTATCATTTTCAGACTTCTGGAGAATGGGCTTATTGATGCATGAGTTGAAGGTCCTGGTGAGTGTACAGAAACAACTTCAGCCATTCTGCTAGTACTATGAGCCATTACATGGAGCATTCCTGAAAAGTATAAATATTTCTATTATACATCGATACATTCAACATCTTTACAATAAAAAATTTGATTGTAAAATAATCTACACTTTCTTTAAAATCCAGACCACTTTGTCTATACATCCATCATAAAATTATTTCTGGGCTAGAACTCTAAAACTCGTCTTTGAAATGTATGTTCTTACCCATGAACAAAATTATGACTTATAATGTCATTAACTAACTTAAGGAAATGAGATCTTTAAAATAATTTTCCTACCTCAGGCTATGTTTATTAAATCAAGACTGACCATGCAGGGAAAAAATCTTGAGATAAAGCCTGTTGACAGGGAACTTATTTATATTGAAAAGTAACTTATTTATGTATAAATAAATATGCAGCTTATTAATGCTATACTGGTGAAAGTGGTTGGGACTAGATTTCACTTGCCAGTAGGGGACTAGTATTGCTTATGCAATACTCATAATACTTGTTTTTATGTATGGCATGCAACCTATTTTTGTTGACATGCATGCAAGTTAAGAAATAATTTTAAATTTGCATGTTAACATAGTCATAAACTTGTCAACATGAGTAAGCTGAATATCAACATAAGTTGAACATCAAATCATAGGGGTCTCATCTTCTGAATTGTTCAAAATAAAATTTTCTTTAAGTCACTTTTAAAAGTTGTTTTTAAGAAGGACGTTGATGCATTTAGATGATTAATACCCTGTTTAAAACATGTCACACCTATATAAAAATACCATAAATCTACATGGGTACAAACTGGTTATCTTGGAAAAAACGCCCCCATCCACTCTGGCACCAGTTTCTGTACTCTATCCAATATATTTATTTTCTTTCATGGTATAATTCATTACAGCAATGATTTTCCAAAATGCTAATGTGCTTGTCAGTTCTCCCACATTTTTAATCAATAGTAAACAAATACATGTATGATTTTTCATCAATTTGAAAGTTCAGTTCTCCAAATCAACCTGTTTGCATGGTTGCATTGGTCTGAAACAAAGGGTAATAATTGTGGTACATGTAGAGGGTATTGTTGATAAAGCATGCTTGTATGGCATGGACCTGTGCACTGTGTAACCATTAACTTATATATTTATCCTGCAACTACCCCTTGCATTGACCTAATAAAGGTAACCTAATAAACCAAAGCTATATTCGGTCAATGCCCTAATAAAGCCTCGTGCAGGTATTCCAACGTTCTAAAAGCATTGTGACGTCATGAATATTGCAATGTTTACGCCATGGCGTCTTAGTTTCAACTGCAGAGATGTACCTATATCGGTTGAAAACAGCTCGTTTTGGAGGTCATGTAAAAATGTGTTGCAGGATAAACAAAATACATGGAGACTTGTCTTGAAATATAAGCGATATTTGGGCTCGGGTCGAAAACGTGATAGACCACGTTTTCTTACCCTCGCCCAAATATCGCTTATATTTCAAGACAGTAACTTACCATGTATTTTATATTTACCAGGTAATCAAAACAAGAGGCCATGGGCCACAATGCTCACCTGAGTTTCTATTGCCTTTCTTGATCTTCATCAACAGATTCTTTTTCCTATTTATTCTCATGTAAAACTTGATCACCAATTGTAGCCCCACCCTTTCCTCTTTCCTCTGGGGTCATGATTTGAATAAACTTGAATCTACACTACTTGAGAATGCTTCTTTATAAATACAACTAAACATGACTTTGCTGTTCTTGAGAATAAGATTTTTAAAGATTTTTTTCTATATATATTCATGTAAAACTTTGATTGCCCATCAAAGCCCCACCCTACCCCCGAGGGTCATGATTTGAACAAATTTCAATCTACACTTTCTGAGGATGTTTCCATATCAATCTAATTAAAATTAGACTTGTATTTTCGCTCCTCTACTATACGCTTCAGCGAAAATACAAGTCTAATTTTAATTAGATCATGTAGATTGCTTCCATATAAATATGACTGATCATGCCTTTGGTGTTCTTGAGAAAAAGATTTTCAAAGATTTTTTCTATACATACCCATATAATTTAATTCTCGTTGTAATGCGCCATTTGACTGGATAAAATATTTACTTTATATCGTATAAATTGTGTTGCCTACATCAGAATGACTTGTTTCAAAAACATATCAACCCACCTGATATTACATTTAAATTTTGTACAATTTGAGGTCATTTTTAAGGCCAATAATCTTATTTACTTACACTAAATGAATGAAAATTAAATTATAAGGAATGAATTTATTAGCTACCCAATTTATACAGTATAAACTGGGGGACAGTTTATTTTTTTTTCCAGGTGTCTTTTGTTTTTCCAGCCAATTCCAGGCATAGCTCATTTGCATTTTCACCTCAAATTCCGCTTGGTTTCCTCTTAGATTACAACTGGAACCTGTATATCTCCATACATATGTAGTGAGATAAACATCCTTCTCCAAGTACGCCTCTATTCCCACTATATTCGGGACAGAACATTTTATACAGGTATTTACTTGTAGGCGTAGGTGCCTTATAAGCCTATGATAATCAAATTGTGGCCAGCTACAATAATTTCCACCACCTTTTCTTGTTGACAATCTTTTTTCCCCAATAAAACTGGAAGCATTCACTTTCAGTAAACCTCTAGGTTTTCCTTATGGAACTATTACATACCCTTTGCAATTTTGTAAACTTCCATATTTCAGTCTGATTTGATGAGTTGAACCTCCAAATTAATGAAATAACCATTTTCTGTTGATTTGAATGTGTGATACATGTTGATTATCAGCATTTTGGGAAATAATCCCTGTGACAAATCGTACCATGAAAACAACACAAATTTGGAGGATAGAGTACAGAAACTGGCACTAAAGTGGGTGGATCATTTTCTTAAAGATGGTCAGTTTCTACCCTTGTAGAGTTTATGTTATATTGGTGAGGTGTTTTTTTAACTGGGTACTAATTGTCTAATGTCAACATCCTTCTTAAAACAACTTTTACACTAATGTAATACAACGTATTGTAAGACAGATGAATGAGATGATACATAAATATTGTTGGTTACAGGGTTAAGACTAAGAGTACTGCTAGCTGAACATGTCCTACCCGTATAACACTACAGGGTTATAAAAATAGTACATGATAATTGAAAATAAATAGTATATGAATCAATTGATTGATACATCTATAAATAAATACCTGTCAAAGAATGCACTGTGATACAAACTCTCTTTGAATAAGTCTTTCTTACAATCTTTTGAACTTCTCTGTTTGTTTTTTCACGTGCGTATCAAATTTAAGATCTGTATAAAAAATTTACAAAGCGGTATGTCTACAATACATCCAGTTCATCAGATTTTTAGTAAAAGAACTTAGAAAAATTATTAATAAAATATGTTTTTATTTTTAATTGTTGATAGAATGTTGATATGCATGTCTTAACCATATTAAATAGTTGCCTCAAAATACCGTTTTGTAAAAATATATTCCAAAAACTGCAATTAACGCGGGTTGCTTGAATGACCACAAACAAGTACAAACAAATCAGATTTAAACAGATCGCATTGGTAAATTTGCACTCTTTATATGCGCATGCCATATCCGATTTGTCAACAAAATATAGAAGTGATAAATAATGTGAGATCGATTTTCAAAAACTTTTTTGGACCGATTTAAACACAATGGCAGATGAATTGTACACTAAGAGGCTTCCGGTTTTGTTTAAGTCTCCAGATCGTGAGGACAGGTAAGATTGGAGTAAATAATTGTGATCTTCCAGAATTTGCTCTGCCATTTTTGATATCCACGAGCAATAAACCAAGAAATGAGAGTGACACACACTTTCCCCTTCAGGCTTCGGTAGAAACGAAATCACTGACCATGATGATAGAGCAGTCATCAATAATTCAATTTTCCTCTCTTTTTGTGATAACTACCGGAAAAATGTGATTTACATTATACATAGCATAATTCACAATGTCAACAGATGTAAAACAATCCTTGATAGTATGTCATTTACATGATTTATATACAAGTCACAAAGTATACTTACTTGGGTCCTCATGGTACTAACAGCATGTTCTTGGATTTCCCTTACATATATTCACATCAAAATTGGAAAAATCTTGAACTTTGAATTTCAAAATAGTTTGGTTTTTTTGCCATCCAAAAGGTAATTAACTTTCGTTTAACACTCTTTTGGGTGGCTACACCACTCTATTTGAAAGACTTATATAGAAAGTGTCAGATGTGGTTTTATTGGATATAAATGTTTCCCCGACTTTAAAAAGTTGATCTATTGAAGAATAAAAGGGGAAATTGGAAATAACATGTGATGTATAAATATATATCATATATAAATTGCAAAGATTTTTAGTTTTGTTTATGCCCACGTAGAACATTTCCAGCATTGGTTAAAAACGCCATCAAATGCATTGTACTTGTAATTACATATCTAACACCCTTGTTATTGTATAATATCTTTTGTACAAGTTAACTATTCAAGGTAAAAAGCTAAATTTTTATGACATTGACTTGACTGATTACGGTATTCTTCATTTATGAAGATTGTTTGAAAAAAAAAAAGCCAGTCTAGTATAGATAGTTTTCGTATGATGTATTTTCCCTCCAAATTATTCCCCTTGCTTGCCATCTTGGAGGTTGGTGAATTTTCCTCTTTGAGAAACCAATTATAAACATGACTGGCAAAAATATAAGATTTTTTTTTCAATACTAAATCTGGATTTTGCAGTTTTTGTAAAGCAGTATCAGTATATATGTGTAACACATTAGTCCTAGTCAGAGGTCATTTGGCATTCAGGCAGGGGTACTTTACATGAAATCCATCAAATGCAATATTTATAAAATAAATCAATTTAACATTTTATTTCAGACGAGAACATGTTCAGTTGAAAATGGAACTCCAGACATTATCTTCTCCTTTACATAAAAAGGTACTGTAGTTCTTGGGCTGTGGAAAAAAAATTAGTTAATTTATTTTATTAAATTTGTTAAATGCAGATTAAATTTCTCGAGAAATAAAAGAATGAATAATATTTAAATGCAAAGATTCAAAAGCTTGGTCCTTTTTTTTTCATGTTCCATTTATAAATGCTTGCAAAATAATTGACATTGAGGAAATGGTTGTTGAATTTTCAAGTTTGTCAGACACTTTTTCTAAGGAGCAGAGTAAAAAAAAAAAAGTTTTCTTCCTTGATTTTGGCATTTATACTCTTAAAAGATTCAATATTAAAAGTCAGTAATTTCTACAAATTTATTGTTATATCACACAATGATTTTTTTTATAGAGAAGTAAGAAAAAGAAGTCTAATTTCTGTGTTCATCTTTGCAGGGTTGTCCCTAGGACCCAAGGGCCAGGGAATTTCCCCACCTATAATGATATAGTCCCCTGGTTATTTTGGTATTCCTCCTAAACTCCCCATTAGGGGAGGAACCCCAGATCCCTTTCTACTTTTTAATTGTCCCCTTCTTTTTCAATTCTTAGGGACAACCCTGTCTTTCAGGGTTGGCCGGGAAATACCAGTGGTGGGAATTACCAGTGGTAAATACCAGTATTTCCCGTCCCGGTAAATACTACAAATTTTCTCTACACTGGGAAATAGTGGGAAATACAAAGTTCAAGTTTCTTACTTCTATAATTTATTCAATCTTATACAAAATTCAGAAATAAAATAAACATAAAAAAAGAAAAATGTTATTGAATATGTCTCAAACAGAGTGTATCACTACTCCAGGTCCCCTACCAATAAGCATTCATCAGCAGCTAGAACATGTTCCCTGGCTGTATTTTAAGAACATCACCTAAGTTTTCAAATTCAGGTTTCTTTCCAGTTTTACTAAATTATTAAGTTTATCAATTATAAATCAAGAACAAAATTAATTTGTTTTAATCCTTCTATGAACGCCTTATAGTTATTACAATCAATCATGTTGTTTTAACAAATTGTTCTGGACAGTTTTGTGTTCCTGTTTTGAGAGATAATTACCTTGAGTAGAACTGAAAAGGCTTCCTTTTACTTTTGGGTTTGATATTTACACCATATTCATGATATTCAACATTTAACAATTTTCTTTGACCCTTCTTTAGTTACATAAAAAACCCAAATGGGATCTTTGGGTTCATTTCATGGACCTTTATAGACTACAGCTGACTCAAGTATGAAATAAATGACACTCATGGCTGGTATATGAGTATACTGTGTTCAGATTATTTTAATAGCAAATATACATTAAAAAATTATCAATTTGGAAGAAATTGAAAGTTTTCCTTAAAATTTGCTGTGTATTTTAAACATATTTTAAGAGTAAAAACATAAGATTTACTCATTTTTTCCACAAAAACAATAAAAATGCTTCTCAATTTTATATGTCATTCTTGAAGGTCAACATGTATTGTGCAAGAATCAAATTTATTTTAATGCTCAGCTTGTTGTAGATTTTATATATATAAGTTTAAATTTGAGAGGTAATTTTCAATTTTTCAAACTGTAAAACTGTACAGTATTTGTGTTGCCATGGCAACAGATGCCTAGGTATTTAGATTTGCTTTTAAACTTTTTTGTATACTACATATTTTTAATAATTAGCATAAAGCCTGTTGTAGATGATATCAGTATTCTTTTTGTTTAAATATTCTTCCAAAAATGTTAAAATTGAAGCTATTTTTCTTAACTTACTGTGGTTTCCATGGCAACACATAGCAAGGGAAAAAAATAAGTTTTGTTGGTCAAACATCATTTTCATATATGTAAAAGTTGTGTACTATGAACACTTTTTACAACCATTAAAAGAAAACAGGAGGTTAAAATTTTAAGTTTCCATCTGAAGCTTGATGATTCGTTACATTCTCTCTTAAATATGAATTATTAGGAAACCAGAAATTTTTAAGTCAGGGACAGTGATACCAGACAGATAGCCAATAAGGTGTACTACATGTCTATACCCTGACAAATATTTCAAAATTATGAAATATGTAGCTACATTTGTCACTATTTCTTATTTCCCGGGAAATACCAGTAATTCCCGGAAATTACCAGTATTTCCCACTGTCCTGGGAAATATGAGTATTTCCCGCTTTTTTGCCAACCCTGCTGTCTTTGGGATACATTCCTAATCATTTAAGTCTGAATTGTTTTAACAAATGGGCCTTTTTTTTTTTTAATGCATATCAATTATTTGGTTTTTTTGAATTTTTCAGGAACTAGTGGTCAGACTGACGGACGAGCGAGATCTGTTTTTCTTGTACACATTAAGGCTGGGAGAAGAAGATTTTCAAAGGTATTTTATCGCTCAAACTTAGAAACATCTTTTATATTTAAAAAATGATTATGTTTTGTAGTTTGTCTATTTGCAGAAACCTCTATTTTAAAGGTGTATATATTTGAAATTTCAGCTTAAAAACACAACAAGGATTATTGGTGGACTTCGCACAGTTTCCACAAAAATTCATAGATCTGCTGGATATGTGTTTAAGGGAAGAACACAAAGAGGTTCCAAAGTAAGAAATACTGGGAAATATTCAAAATTTCAATAATAAAATGTAAACTAAGTATATACATAGAAAAAGAGTCATAGTATGGTCAAACCTTGTTATCACAAACTCAATGAGAAAGAGAAAAAACTTTGAGATATCCAAGGATTTGAGATATCAAGGGTAAAATACCTAAAGAATAAGTGGTTGGGACTTCTGAATCAGTTCAACTCATCCATGGTAATCGAGATTCTATCTTTCCAATAACAGTGTGTTACTTTGCTTGATCGAGCATGCTAATGTTTCATATGTTGATCACCATGTTACTCATCAATTGGCTGTTTTAATTCAATGAATTGAATACTACTTTGCAAATGAAACTGATAACCAAACAATACCTCTTACAGCTCTGACCAATCGTATTGGATGTGTTTATTAGTGAGCATGTAGAGTGAACAACAATAACACATATTCATATTACTTGCATAATGCATATGTATACTTGCAGAAGTGTTGTTTTACCAGTTTTTATGCTAAAAAATTTTCTTATATTATCTTTACCTGCGGTGAATTTAGAACTGAACCGGACAGATTATCATTAGGAAGTAAAACAGGCTTTGACTGACCACATGTTGCTGTTTTCTATGTAGTAAACAATTATTCATTTAATATTCAACATGTTCGATACAATTGGTCCATATTCTTGGTGGTATTTGGAGGTTCTGTGGTTAATATGCAAAATAATATTATTTTATTGAAACCAAACAGCCAATCCATGATTAATATGGTAAAC